TCTCTCTCTCTCTCTCGATCCAATGAAAATAAAAAATAAAAAAAGAAAACGCGTCGGCGTGTATCAAATATTATATCCGATTTTTATAAACCGCGAACTTATTCTCTCGTTCCTCCTCTTTCTCCTCCTCCCCCTCCTCTTTACTTTCCCTCTACTTTCCATCTGCCCATTTTCCTCGTCCCATCCTCCCCAACCAACCCAACCCCCCTTGAGCCACCTATTGTCATTAACGAAACACGAAATCCGCTTGAAATTCGAGCCGAACGAACCGCGATACCAGATCTCGTTATCGGTGCTTGTATTTTTCTTCTTTCTTTTTTTTTTTAGTAGTAGAAGAATCGACTGGTCTTTTAAAAAATAACACATTTTAAATAGAAAAATAGAAAAAAAAAAATATATATAAAAGATGGAAGAGCAATAGATAAAGAAAATAAGATAAACTGTAAAGAAAATTAGAGAAAAATTTCAAACGTATCGAAAGAGAGAGAGAGAGAGAGAGAGAGAGAGAGAGAGAGAGACTCGAACCAAATTTCATTATATTCGAGGAATACTTTTATTTTTATAAAAAAAGATAAAAAAGAAATTCAAGATAAATCTCATTTTTATTCAATATTATTTCAAATATTATTTCTTATTTATTCGTCACCGAAAGTATAAAAAAAAAAAAAAAGAAAAAAAATTACGCAGCTTTCGTTTCCAATCAAAATTGATTTCCATTGTGATTAAAATCAATTCTTTGATAATTAATACTATAGTTAATCATTGTTTACATATATACAGGGTGTGTCCCACATAATTCTAGTCACGATTTTTCAAATACTTATTAAAATACTTTAAACATATGTTGATCTGTGTTTTTGATGATTGACTATATTATATTGCAATAAAAAAAAAAGAAAAAAATTTTTTATACAAGTGCCCTCTCATCTTTCATATTCTTTTGTTTAAACTTAATACCACACCAAAACAAAAAAAGATATATCGATGATAATTAATAATAAATTTTTAATGATAAAATTTAACAGGGAACTTGGACATGAAAGAAGTAGAACTTAGTTTGATTTAGTTGAACGTTTCATCCCTTTATTTGGACTTCTTCAGCAACTTAATCTTTACAGTTCAGCGTCTTTTTTCATTGAGTAGACATACATTTTTCTTTTTATTAATATTCAAAACACAAAACATCTAAACTTCGTTAAATTGATCGTTATTATTTAAGTTCCTCAACAAAACTTAATTAAGTTGCTGAATAAGTCCCAATAAAGGGACGAAACGTCCAACTAAATCAAACTAAGTTCTACTTCTTTCATGTCTCCAAGTTCCCTGTTAAATTTTATCATTAAAAATTGTAATTTTTGGACGAGAGAAATACTAAAGAAATTAATAATAAATATTTTTGACTTATTTGGAAAGTAGAGTCGATTGCAGGAGCACCTGGCGTATTACCAACACCTTTTGCTGCTATGCATGGCCTACCATCGCCATTGGCAGGCCCTTACAATGGTGTACCACCAGCTGGAGGCCTTGGTGGTCTCGGAGGTTTTCCTTTAGGAGCTGGTGCCCTTGGTGTACGTGTACCAGGTGGTGGACAATCGTCTGCCGTTTTACTCGTTAGCAACCTAAACGAGGAGGTAAGTTTTAACACGGGGGGGATTTTACAACAACAAATTTGCCAACTTTTTCGATGATCAAAATTGTTTAATAATAATAATACGAAATATAATATATTGATCAATGAAAATGTGTTTAATCACGAATGAATATTCTTTTTTTTTTTTTTTTTTTTTTTTTTTTTTTTTTTTTTTTTTTTTTTTTCTTTTTTTTTTCTCTCTTTTCGTTTTTTCCATTTTTCATGCACTTTTATCCAAATAACATTTGTCGTTGAGTGTGTTGATAAATTGTTTAAGACGTCGTTTAGTCATTTTTTTTTTTTATTACAATATCGTGATTATATTCCTAATGACAATAATATATATATTTTTTTTTGTTTCTTTTTTATTCATTTAATATTATATTAAAAATTTTGCATAGAAAATATTAATTATATAATTATGATAATAAATTAGAATGTGTTTTTTCTTTTTTGGGTTTGTTATTGTTGTTTTATTGTCGATT